AGCAGGCCAAGCGACACTTGTGGCAGTAGGGTACAAGTACAGCAAACTAGCAAGAGAACCACAGAAAGACTGGTGGGAAATGGCCCGGCCAAAGCGATACGCAGACGTCTACTTTGAGATGCGGTGCAAGAAACCGCTAGAGCTGTCTATGATCGTCTTTTAGCAGCTTGCACAGGACACAGCAACTTTTGGAGGACGAAGGCTGAACATCTGTCAGTGGTGTCCTCTACGAACCTGGGAGTGAAATATTCTCCCAGGGCCGAGATTCAGTCACGACAAAGGGTGGGATTAATTTTTTTTGACGAGTTTTCGACTTGAAGGAGCTGCACTCGATGTTTTGGTCGAAAAATCAGTCGGCAGAGATTTCACAGCCGGCACAAAGTTGAACAAAAACTCATCACCACCAACATACGATTCACGAGTGGGCCTAGGTCTGTCTGGGGGTCGTATTCAAACATCCGACATCTCTCAAACTCCTTTTATATTTGCGAAGAAGCATTCCTCAGTCGATCCAATACCTGTGACCCACTTCCATACTTGTCCGATCACCTACCTACACACGTCCTAATGAGGAATGTCATGATAAAAACGGGACGTGTACAAAGGAGGAAGAAGAGGGAAGATACACCGAGGGGATTACGCAAATCCCCAATGAAGAAAACAACCCAACGTTATGATATGAAGGTGCAAGGCTAGAGCAACGATGAGATCTTGGACGGCATTTATATTTCGGAGTCAATGAGGATGTCAAGGGCTCGGGTGCGTGGTGGCCGAGGCTGAGGAGGAAATTGCGCTACGGCGTGTATACAGCGGGTTTCTGGACGGTTAGGCTTGGTATGATTCAACACATAGATGAAGTCTGAGGTGGTCTGGTCATTAAAGTGGGACGAGGTTTATCTGTACTTCACGGTAGTTGACCTGAACCGGCTCGACCCCACTCGTGCTTAAGCTCCAATAGGAGTGCAACGGTAGTCATGTAGCCTAGTACGTTAATGAACAAAACTGTCGCAACACTATTTTGGGATATGCATGGGTCAGGAGAGAGATCGCAATATCTTGATAGTTACTCACGTGTATTGGTGCAGCTTGGCGTGTCGCCCTTAAAGCTGATACGCCTGTGTCCAAGAAATAGAAGAACAAGAATCACCACATCATCGAGCCGAGCTAACAGAGTTCTCAGTTTACAGCGTCCTACCTCTAGTTTTGCGCGGCGTGCACTGTCTCTTCCAAAATCAGAGCAAATCAATTCAGTTGCCATGCCTCCTTGGAATCCACGTGAGTGCCGAGAAGCCGCACACTCCCGGGTGGCTGGACAGAACAGTGGCTCTACAGATGAAAACAGACAAGTCTTCCTTGATCTCCTCCATATTATCTCCTTTGGACACATAATTATCTACTCAGACGGCTCGAAGCAACTAAATGGCCTGGGAGGCGCTGGCTTCATCGGCTACCAAGGTGGTGTACAAGTTCTACATAAGAGTATCGCTCTTGGAAAGGGCGTCGAAGTTTTTGATGCGGAAGTGAAAGGCGCCCTAGAAGGGGCAAAATCTGTAATAGCACTCCCAACTGCTAAATTCGCTACAGACCTCTAGATTTGTCTGGGTAACTTAGAGGTTGCCACTCGACTCTCGTCCCACTTCTCAGGGTCCTCACGAGCGCAATTTAATGAGTTCCTCACCTTGACACCCAAATGGCAAGAACGCTCTGGGCTTGCCCACACTAGACGGGGCCAAATACGGGTTCGATGGGTTCCGAGCCACACATCCATAATTGGAAATGAAGCCGCTGATAAAGCCGCGAAAAATGGCTGCCATTTACCAACTTCAGATGACCTATTTTTCTCATATGCTGGTCTGAAGCGCTGGGCAAATGAGTCCATAACGCAAGCCACTGGCAGACTATGGAGAAATCTTCTCACCCAGCACATAAGCTATGAGAAGCTAGGAATTATATCAGCTCCCTCTAGGCCTAAAGAACTCACCCTCTCGCGTGCCACTCTAGGCCGTATCCTAGCAGCTAGATCTGGACATGGCGATTTTGCCAACTACCACGAGCGCTTCAGCCACGAGAATGCACCAAAATACTGCCGATGTGGCCGTAGAAAGGCCCCACTCCATTTTTTCTTCTGCCACATATGGAAAAGAAGGTCACGTCTTATGCAAGGTCCACCTTCAAAGATGATCTCGTTCATTCTTGGTACACATGGAGGGGGGCGAAAATTCGGAGAATGGCTTCAAGAAACTCGATTCTTTACAGAGATATGCCCATAAAATACCTTGGAGATTCAATGGATACCTAAAGCGAGCTAGCTAAAGAAGAAAGACAAGTAACTCAATGGAGCAACAAATTTTATTTTTTCGGCAGTGGAGGTCAACAGGGAATGTGGACTGACCTACGCAGTAGATGGCGCCGAGCAATCATTACATAGCCACATAAGAACTTAGCAATCTGCGGGAAGTAGCTATGTAAATGCACTTTCTATGTATATAAAGTCTCGCATTGGTTTTTTTTTCCTTTCATTTCAAATATGTAGAAGCCTAGGGATTAGACCCTGGCGTCTTTTGTCTCAGTAGGGACTTAATAGGGACACACGTCAAGCGCGTGGCTCGCTAGACGTAAAATAAAGATCATCATCATCATCATCACCACGCCGGCAAAGACGAATTCTTCACCTTCCAGTGGTGCCGGTGTAATCGCTCAGTATGCTCTGCATATCTGGGATAGCCGAGAAGAATCGCATCCGAATCGAAGTCGAAAGCAACCTCAAACACATCTCCATTTGACGACTTCTCGACAATGCCTCTCTCATCATTATCATCTGAGTCCTCAACCCATCTCTAACCATGGATCAACTCGCCTCAACGACCAATAAAGAAGTTGCTCCAATTGCATACAGGAGCTTGCCCCATTAATCTCCAGCCATCTCTCACTACATATTTACGACGCTATTTATACCCGTAAGGAGGAAATCAAGTCGAAAAATACAAAGCCTGGGTCTTGGCTTATGGGGGCTGTTGCTCTAATGGGACAAGCAACTTGAGGAAGAACAGGCGCCTGAGATGTGGAGCGAGAGGGGGAATAGGTCTCTGAAGAGCATGCTGAGACCGATATTTTCGAGGAGTTTTCAACTTTGGTTTTTTGTGTGCGCCAAGACCGAGATTTCGACTAATCAGCCAGGAGGGCTTCAATTGTCAATGAGTCAACGGTCCTCCCCAGGGCCCTGGACGGCACAACAAAAGTTGGGCTATGCTACCATTCAGCTATCACGCTCTATCAAGACTTTTCTGACATTTCAGCACGACCTTTGGGAAGGAGTTGGAAGGAGGCTAGAAAGGCAGGGGTGAATTTTCCGAGGTACACACAAGTCTGCAGCGTCCAGCTGGCCGGCCTCTTCGAAAGCTTCTGAGGGGTCACTATTTCTTCGGACTTAGTCCTAATGTCGGTATTAGAAGAACTCGCCACCCAGTAACTTTTGCGATTTTGCCGACTGTCATACACCCGCAAATGGCCTTCGTTTCGTCGACTGGAGAGGGGAGATAATGAAGGGAAAAGGGCTCTTCTAAGTGTATGATCGAATGAGGACTCATGGGGGGCGACACCATTCGAGGGGAGCTGTATGGGAGGCACAGGAGTAGAGATACTACTGGTATAGGTATCCTTGGCCTATAGGCAGAGAGGACCTATATGTCCTCCATAGTCATAGACTCAGACAGGACAATAAAATGAAGTAATGATAATAATATTAATACACGGTGGCAAGTCGAGGGGTAACAATGCGAGGATCTTGTGAGACTAAAGCCGTTGGTTATGGCAACTAGTATATTCAATGTCAAAGCCATACTCATGACACATTTTCTGGCGCGCAAGCTTTGTCTACATTGCAGAATTTGACTAAAGCTTGGCCGTATAAGGATTTTTAACTCCCAGATTCTTGGAGAAGCTTGCTGTTTGTTAAATTCTCTTCGGCCTCGTTGTTGAATATATGAAGTTGTGATACGGCATCTGCCATTTATCATAAAACACATGTATCTTGGCGCTTGCGAGCCCAAAGTACTCCAGAAACGTGGAGTATGTGAATGTTTGATGGACTAATAAATCTAATTGTTAAATTAGTGTAAACAAAGTGCCTGACTATAGTTCTATGTTACATCACGTGAGCTATTCAGGGAGTGATTCCTTATCTAGAATAACGCCGAGAAGAAGTAAATAGCCCATCTCTCTGAGTAATCGCTGTTCCTTGGAGGGGTTCAAGGAACAATAGTATAATTGATACGAATTTTGTTACGATAAGCTTGACACAGAACCCATCCACTTGAAATATTCCGACAAAAAGAAAAGTCGCTATCCATTTATGATCCTTTAAGGCTTAAAAGGCAAGTACTAATTAAGCCTTGTGTCTAAGATAGGGGTAATTTTGAAATTTATCCTCCACTAGAAGTTCACTCTCATATAGGTACACAAGCATTAATTTTTATTAAATTATGAGTTTAGTATCTGCTATTTCCAAGCCCTGCACATTCAATATTGTCTATTCCAGTGTTACTTATCTAGGTCGTAATTAGAAAAGGAACCTTTTCTGGTCTACACATTCGTAGTTCACCCTATTAAATCTATTATCGCCAATTATTGGTAGCTAGACTAGGTTCGCTTTCTGAATTGTTGATTTGGAGCTTGGTTCATGATGATGTAGTCGAAACAGAGAGATAAGATTAATAGTTAACTCGTTGTACTTAACATTACACCAAGGAGTTACTGATTAACAAACTCTGTCGAGGACATGAGATACATGAACCCATTTTGGTCTTCTGGAAGCTTATTGTTACGCTTTGATTGAATTGTCAAATATTATAGTTTTTAAACTGATCCCAACTTACTGCCCGTCCGATGGCCTTGGAAGGCAACCATAACTCCTCGATTTCCGCATACACCTATGAAGCCAGTCTTGCTGAATAATTTTCAAAAGATTAATTTTAACATGCTTGTATTCTGTCTTTGGAAGGTCAAGTCGCAACCTTTTGATGTGTTGTAGGGAGTACGCCGAAGCGGCCGTATGTTTTTTGATCAATAGAGACGTAATGGGGCAGTCTGCCTAGTAGGTTCAACTTACCCTCAATCCATCTTAGAGCTCGTTCTGGAGGAGCAAGAAATTTTAAATAACCGAGGCCCCCTGACTTTGTGAGTAACTATTATCCCTTCATCTCCACATAAACACTTACATCCGTAACCGAAAGCTAGACCGCATAAGTGGCCAAGGAAGCTTGTATTTGGAATTAACACTGAGACAAAAATTGCCATTACTAAAGGTGATATCCAAGTTGGGATAGGCGTAGATCCAAGCATGAAGTGAGGATATGTCTTATAAGTTTTCATAGCCTCTATCGCAAGTAAAGTAAATACCCAAATGCTGCAATTGAGAATATTAGCTTTGAAATTTACAGCTGAAGTAATTGCATGCCTTGCTCCAAGTATCTGAGTATCCATTTTCAGAATAATTGTCTCTATAAACGTGTATAAGAGCGCTGGGATAGTCGATAAAGCTTAGAATAATCAGCAACCAAGAAAACAGTGGGAAATCTAAAGCTGAGAGTCTGCGTACGACCGAAAAACAGTACAAGTGTTGTAAGTGTACCATGTTCGGCTTCAAATCTTTCCAGCAACGGGGTTAGAGCAAGAACATTAGAAAGAGCGTGGAAGAGGCCAACATGGACCAGAGGAAATGTATTTATCCTATACACTGGGCCAAAACATTAGTATTTATGCGTCTTAAGGCTTTAGATCCAATTGGTCTGAGAAGTACGCACTAGACTTTAAGTTGATCTCTCTTGGTATTAGAGCTCCCCATTGCGACACATTCCAGATGGGTTGAATGCTCAGGAGCCAGAATAGGAGGATAATTAGAAACACAGCTCGAGTGAAGAGAGGCAGCCTAGAAATAAAGCTTCGCAACCTCGTAGCAGAAAACTGCGCCAGTGAAGGGGTCATTGTTAATGGTAAGGCGCGAGCAGCAGTACTGGAATGTCGGCGCAGATATAATGTTGTTAGAATCTTGTCACAGGTTAAAATTTGGTGGCAGGGGACCATATGATGCCTATTAAGGAAGGCGAAGGATTAATGATAAATGTTGCCTATGCTACAAAACGATGACCTAGTATCCTGTAATGTAACGTAAAACCGTAGCTCTGAGCATACTTTTTATATATGTAACACAGCCAATTAGTTGACCTGATGAGATGTGATATAGCTTGATTACTTGATATTCTTCCTTATCCTAGGACCGAGTGGTCGATGTAGGTACTAGGATTAAGGAATGCGGAAGGGAGGGATAACTAGCCCACCAAGCTCGCCAAACTGGCCTGCAAATCCCACTATTTGTGGATTACCAACCTCCATCCCTAATCTCAGTAATATCAATCTTGAATAATTTTTTTGGACTCAGGAATTAGCAAATTTTACAGGCTCAACAATATGGCCTAGACAATATAGTATCACCCTAAGAGAGACACCTGTCAATTAGTACCCGCATGCAGGACAAAGACCGAACCTGTAAGTGATGACGTCTACAAACCTGCGCTTTAAATATTTACTTTATTACAATTTTGCAATGAGAGAGACGTTTTCGCGAGTCAATGATTCAAGTCTTCCTGTTACCCTAATTCTACACTCCCAACAAGCTGGATCCACATGTACAACCTAGTACATCATTTTCTAAATTACTTTAACTTTCCCTTATTTTGTCTCGCCTTTGACTGCCCTCCACAGATATTCTCACGAAGTTAATTATACCTACGGAATGCGGAAAGCGGCCGGCAATTTAGGTCAGAAAGATCTTGGGATGAACCGTATTGATGGTTAAAGAGACAGATGAAAAAATGCTAGAGATTGATGATATACCGGAAGATCTAAATCAAAAAAAAGAAACGAATCTTGCGCACCGCAACAAAATATACACATGTACATTAGAATGGTACGGCGGTATCATTTGAGGGATTGTATCCAAGCTAGAGATCTTCTCACATTTGGATAGGAGAAAGCTGGCTAGTTCTATCTAGTCGGTTGATGAGGGTACAGCTATCTAGTTATGACAATACATCAGTGCTACACAATGATGTTATTTTACTTTCAAAACTTTATAGACATTCATTCTCAAACACCACAACCAGGCTTGATTTACTAACTATAGCAGTCGACCCTCTGTGAGTATCCACCCACGGGTACTTTTAAATCCGCAGGTAATCAAAGCACTAAATCGTTTTTGCACACGGGCTCGGCAAAAAATATCAATAAGTTTTGCCGGGTTAGAATCTGCCATCTCATACCTTGAGTGAGATTAGTATCCATGATATCTAGACCCTAATTGTACGATCGGCTAGGATGACGAGCCACCGCTCCATCCAACCATGGCAATTTTTACTGCGTAGTCTCACTATCGCAAATGATTTAATATATCACACAATGCGCTTCAATACAAAAACTCTATCCCTGAAAAAGAGAATTCAAAAATTCCAAGATTGCACCCATCCTTAACCTAATACATTCTATCCGTACTTATTTCATTCAAGTACATCCCGGGAGTCAACCTCCGAAATTTATGCAACACGATTTTTCTTCTTCAGGTATCACTGTTGGCGTGGGTGCAGGGTATAACCTTCAGTATCTAATGGTAACTATTTAATCCCAAAATTTCATAATTACAATCAAATTCTACAGCTGACTATATGACTTAAGCAGTCCATCATTGTCATGGTGTAATCCTTTGTAATTTTATCATGCCAAGCTCAGGCACTGCATTTAATTTGACATGACAAGTGGTATTGATCCCCAAAGCCTTGATACTAGCAAGATGACAAGTTTGAAAGAATCAGAGAAAAAAAATGAAACCCCCAATTTCCGGGTACGGTATCCTGCGCCCCGCCTGAACACTTCGATGTTGTTCACTGACAGATTAATTTCTACGACATTAACTTGACTTGCACCAACCTCAGTAATACTGACTTCATTCATTTTCTCACACATCCATCCACCGAAGCAACGTGGTATGTCCTATTTTTAAGATATCAGTAGCACTACCAAAAACCGTAGCCTAGTGCCCCAAAGCACTCCCAGTTATTAATTCATTTTGTTGCCATAAATAAGTCGATGACTATATGGGGTATGCAAATCTTCTCTACCTATATTCAGTGGAAAATGTGGCTAAATTCCACGGATTAACACTTTGATAAATGGCTATTCATCAAGGGGAATATATCAATGATCTTTCAAATAACAAAAGAGGATAGGAGCACTGTACAAGGTGTGACCTGGGTCAGAGAGGAGCCCCATGTGCTAGATAGTCTGAGACTCAAGTGGAACAATAAACATACCTCTCTCTGCCTACAAACCAATGGTAGCTGTCTAGTAGTAAATCCCCTCCTATACCTCCTATACCTCCCATACAGCTCCCCTCAAACAGTATTACCCCTCACAAGTCCTCATTCAATCATACACTAAGAGGAGCCCTTTGCCCTCCATTATCTCCCCTCTCCAGCCAACGAAACGATGGCCATTTGCGGGTGTATGGCAGCTGGGAAAAATCGCAAAAACCACTGGGTGCGGGGCTCTCCTAATACCGAAATTGGGACTAAATCCGAAGAAATAGTGACCCTTTTGAAGCGTTCGATGAGGCCGGCCAGCTGGGCGCTGCGGATTTGTTTGTACCTCGAGAAATTTACTCTCAAACATTCTAGCATCCTTCCCGAAGTTCGTGCTAAAATGTCAGAAAATTCATGACAGATCATGATTGCTGCATGTTGTCATGAATGCGCTTTTCACACTAGAAGTAAATCGTAATCCACGCAGTGTAGCATGCAGAGCCAGGGATATGGAAACAGGTTAGTGATAAGTTAGATACCACCAATCGCTATACTCACCCGTAGATCACTCCTAAAAGAGACTAGCTACGGCGCTATCTGGAAGTATGTTGGATTGGTTAATTATCATGTAGATAACCTGTAACGAAATAGAATATAATAACACAATAAGATAAACAGAGAACAGGCACACAACACACGCGTAGGCTCAGAAAGTCAATGTCCCACGCTGACTTTGTCAAAAAGCTTCTCGAGCCCAAGTGCCACGAAAGCTTCAAAATATTTGCGCAGGAAACCGGCTGTTTTGATAGACGACCTGCTCACTCATCCACTGCTCTCAGCGGGGATCAGATTAACTAGTCATTGCCACAACACATGACAAGAAAGGGAACGAGGCGAGAAGTGTCGTTTCTCTGAGGAAAGATTGTAGCTATTTGGATTTAGGGAAAAGGATTGATTTTTGATCTAGGAGTTGGAGTAGGTGGTGTCCGCGTCGTAATTTACTTCCTACTATTTCTGTAGCAAGTCCAGCGGTTGGAATGAGTTGGGCCTGTAAGCAGTGATCCCCGCCGGCTCCACCAGTCTTGTACCTGTAGTGGACCTAGAGCTTTAGCTTAGGACTTTAATATAAAAAAAAAAAGAGAACAGGCACGCCAAGAATCGAAAGCAAGAAATTAAAGAATGGACCAGAATTTGCGGTCTGGAGAATGCGAAAGGGAGACAAAAAGAAGCCGGTAAGGTGGCCGCGTTCCAGGAGTGGAAAAACTCATGGACACGTCCAGCCTACGAGATACTATCTGGTCATCGAGCTTCGGCAGACCCCGAACATTGGAAAGCCGAAAATATTATTACAGATGAGATAACAGACAGAAAAAGGATTACATATAGAAACACACCCTCAAACATCCACCGAAACCTTAGTAGGGCCCAAAGCAATATTGCAGTTCAGATAAGAAGTGAGCATATTGGTCTCAATTCTTATCTGTATCGAAGGAAAGTCCTCGGAGTGATTAATCTATAATGTCAGTGTGGATATCCGTCTCAAAATGTCAAACATATGGTCTTGGCGTGTCCTCAGTGAGCAATGGGAAGAGGAGAGGTGCTTCAAAAGGCAAAAGACAGGTCATTTGCGGCATTGATGAACAGCCCAGATGACATAGAGAGAATTACAAAATGAATCATGACAAAAGGCTGGTTTGAAAAATCCGGCTTGCAGGAGAAGCAGAAACGGCATTGGACGAAAGGATGAGACGACGTGGATAAGGATAAGACGGAATTCACACTGTACAAACGTGTAAACGCACTTCCTGTAGGAAACCTCAGAAAAAAAATAGACACCAGACAGACACTTGTAGGGGGTTTTTACCGAATTTGGTTTCCTCCTGTGTAAATATTATAGCTAATTATACCTGCATGGGCCCATAGGGTACCTGAGCAGGCTAAATGAAATCAAATCAAAACACATTAAGATACCATTCGCACCCCGTAACATTTATGGCCAAAATCACTCAAGTATATTCTAAGCTCCCTGAGTAGTCACAACCATTCGATTGAAGGTACCAAGTGTGTACAACCATATACATCACCACCCTTCAATACATGTTAGAGTAGCCCAACTTCTTTTGTGCCGTCCAGGGCGCTGGGGAGAGCCGTTGACTCATTGACTATTGAAGTTCTCCTGGCTGATTAGCCGAAATATCGATCTTGACGTCCACAAACGTTCCAAAGTTGAAAACCCCTCGAAAATGTCTGTCCCAGAATGGTCTTCAGAGACCTATTCCCACTCTCGCTCCACATCTCAGCCGCCTGTCCTTCCTCAAGATATATTACCCCATTAGAGCAATAGTCCCCATAAACCAAGACCCCAACTTTTTATATTATGACTTAATTTCCTCCTTGCGGCTATACATAGCGTCGTAAAATTGTAGTGAGTGATGACCGGTAATCAATGAGGGAAGCTCCTGTTTGCAATTGGAGCAACTTCTTTATTAGTCGTTGAGGCGAGATGATGCGTGGTTAGAAAGAGGTTGAGGTCTCAGACGAAATGGTAAGAGCAGCATTATTGAGAAGTTGTCAAATGGATATATACTCGTGTATGCTCTCGACTTTAATTTGGATGCGATTTTCCTTGGCTATCCTAGATATATAAAGTATACTGTGCGATTACACCGACACGGCTGGAAGGTGAAGAATTCTTCTTTGCCGAAAAGCATCCCAAATTCCAGTCCCCTCGAA